AGTATCAAACCATTCCCATTCTCGCCAGTGCGGGGAAGCAATAAAAAAGGCCAATAGGATGTTGGGGAATATCTCCAGGTGTGTGGAGTTTAAGTCAAGGGAGGTAATGCTAAGATTATACAATTCCTTGGTGAGACCTCAGCTAGAATATTGTGTGCAGGTTTGGTCACCATATCTTAAAAAGGACATTGCGGCCTTAGAAAAGGTGCAGCGTAGGGCCACAAGAATGATTCCTGGTCTTAGAGGAATGTCATACGAGGAAAGGTGTGACCAGGAGCCCAGTAGCAGGAGAGTAGGGGTGCTCGGTCAGACCAGCAAACGTTCCCTAATGGCGGATATGGAGCACTGGGGCTTTGGCAGAGCAGTGGGGGAGGGCCAGATTACCATGTCATCCTGGCAGAAGGAGGTCACACCTGGTTTAGGAAATAGCCTAAAAGGCATCTTGCAGAAGATCCATGTGTGCACAGTGTAGTGTCTTCTCCTTGGTCACCTGACCGAAAGCAGCTTAATTAATGATAGAGCTCCACCCCATGGGGGACTGGAAGGTCACATGGGAACAGTCCTTCCCAGCTGGGAAGGCTTCACTTGACCTAGCGTCAGCTTGAACGATGCAGTGCAATTTTCACCCGCGAATGAGGGCATTTCAGAGGCACGAGGGCCCGACCGCAGCACAACACACTGGAACTGACCTGACCTGATAGCCAAGCAATGGAGGCGTGTATGGTGTGGGATCTCATTACCCAAAGGAAGTCCCCCCCCCCCCCCCCACTGGAACTTCCCAGAAATGCTGAATCGCTTCCTCTGCCCCAACACAAACAGGTCTCACCTGCCCAAGGTCTGCTTCTACCTAGAGAATCAAAGTGTGGGCCCTGGGCGAGGCTGCTGCTCCCCGGCCTCTGGAGGTCCGCTAGCTAACACACGTCACTGGCTTGCTGCAGAAGCCATCGGTCCGTTGCCGTTTCCCGGCGACAACACTTGCCGGGTGTATTAAGCATTAAAGTTCCGCTCTTTGTCCCAATGGCGCATTTTTCAAGCAAAATACCAGACTGATTCCCATGACGTTCCACACCACACCCCAACTGCTCACCTTGCCCAAAAGTCTGAATTATTCCAACCTACCAGTATGTCTCTCCTAAATGGATACCCATTCAATTATTCATAGTCTGCAAGCTAAAAGCAATATACGTAAATAGGTAGAAATGTCAAAAAATTGCATGGGCAATAGGAATGGCTGAATATAGAGAAAAACACCCCCCAAAAACGCACTTATAAGCAGCATCCAAGGCTGAGTCCAAAGCACTGCATCTCATCCCTGCCTGTTTTTGTTTCTGAAGCCAGGTTATTCCGAATTATGTCCTGTTGGCCACAGTGGTTCTATCATCCCTCCATTTTCCATCCAGTCCAGTGCTGTACTGCAGTAAACTCACTGCAGTAAAGGCAGGGCTAGGACACACACACAACTTTGGCACAATATAAGGCCACAATTCACCTAAGTCACATATAAGGGCCACACACATACTGTACAGCTGGGGCTAGACCTTGAACCCACGACCCAGGAAGTATGAGACCAAACAGTGAGACCAAACCCTGAGCTGCCAGGACCCCTAATGACTCATTCAGGAAGCATGACCTCAATATGCCTCCGAATTACCTTCATGCGGGTATCTTCATAGTGCAGTCACGCAGCTGTAATCTTCAAATGCGTTTTATAATTTTTTTTATTTTTTTTTTTAGCTGAATAATTAAGAAAAGAGGCTGGAGGGAAATGGTGCACAGACGCAGATCTGAGTGTTTCAGAAGCACACAGCTTCCCATTTATAAATGCAGGACTAGAAGGTGTTTATCAAATAAAACACTCCTCACTAAATACAACTCAGCCTGGTTACTTAACAGCCTGTGATTCAGGGATCAAGTCAGCGCACAACCTGTGTAGGTTATTCAGCATGAAAAAGGCAGTGAATACAGTCAATCAGGTATAACTCCAGAGATAGAGGGAATGAAAAAATGGAGGAAAATTACAAAAGAAATACTTAGTTGCCTCTATCCACTTCAGAAACATGAGTACAAATTTTCTCCACATTTGAATTTGATAAGGGTAAATGAGAAACTCCAGAAAGGAGAATGAGAGGGGGGGGGGGGGCTACCGGCAAAATCAGGAAGAGAGAGGGAGCGAGAAAGAGACAGAGCGAGATTCTGCAGATCATAGGCCTGATAAATAATTCATAATGAGCAGCAGGAGCAGACCTGGTCTGCGAGGCCCCCCTCCTTCACGTAGAGCAGCTGCGCAGTCCTCCGCACCAGCAGGTGCAGCAGGTGAGGGAACTGGGGCAGTAGCTGGCGCCCCCTTGTGGTCTTTCTGTATGATGCGGCATGAGGTGGGACAGGAAACCGCCTTTCGCTCACAAAATGACCAATGGGATTTTCTCACAACTTTTAAGGATGAATATGAATCACAATGCTCCTTCCCCCATCACTTACTGGAAAGGCATTTTATGGGGAAGGGGGGGGTGTAGAGAGGCAAGGAGAGAGGGGCTGAGATTGTGCTGTAATTAAGGGCTTTTAAATCTTTAGGGTGGATGTCGGTTACGATATGAAACACCACTCACAGATCACTTGGCCATTTAATGCATACTGCAAAGCAGCAATCCCAAGCAGGACAGGGGTGCAAATACATAAACACCAAGTGAGGGGTGGGGGCTGTAATAATGGGGGAAAAAACAACTCATTCATCCGAAGAGAACACAGCTGTCGAGGCATAAAGTTTCCCGCATTCACAGGGCTGGATATTTTTAAGAAGACAAATATGTAAGGGTACAACAGCACAGGTCACAGGTCCCTAACTGCCACACCGCCTGCTGCTTTCGTGATAGAAAAAAAAGATAAAGAAACAAGAGTCAAATGGACATAAGATGGGGAGCACAGAGGACAGAGTTAGAGACTGTCATGGTAGCCTGGGTCCCCCACCCATCTCCCGCCATGCCCCCCTGCTCTCTCAGCACCATTCCGATCTTTCGCGTGACAGAGCGCGCACCGAGAAAAGGGGTCCACGAGTGTGGCACAGATGAAATGTCTTCCCCATGAAAAATCCCATCTTTCCCAGGTTCCTGCCCATTCTCTCTCCCGGGCCTGATCCCTTGCTTTCTGGGCCTGCCTTTTCCGCACGGCACACCAAGGCCTGCATCCTGATCCCCTCATGTTTTCACTTGGTGGTTAACTGTCTGATAACACGGAACAATGCTGCTGTATAATATGCAGTTATTTTTCACAATTCTTCCATGTCCAACTATATTTCAGCTTATTATGTATGCTCTGCTATTTGCTAGAGCAGAGAATAGCTTCAGGGCTGAGGCCACGCCCACAAGCTGCTTTCCTGACTCACTGCTAACTTCTGTAACAGCAGTGATGCACCATAGAGAAAAGAAGGGCCAGCAGAACAGGCCGAAAGGGTTCCCTGAATGGTTAATACTATCTGGCAAAGCCAGAGTACATATAAGACAGTAAGGTAATTGCAAGGTAATTGGTGTAAAAATACTGGAGAAACTCCACAGCTGAGCATTAATTTACAGTAGAGCAATGATGAGCAGTACTGTAGTTACAGCCATGGTTGCCCACACAAACGGAGATCTCAGGCGTGTGATGATAGTGTCACACTTATCTAATACCTCGCCTCTGCGGCTTCACCACATGCCGTTTGTGTTACTAACACTGAGATCTCTGCTTGTTTGCTCCACATCCACAGGGATTTTTCCCATGTTTGCTGTGTTTGAGTGCAAGGGCTTTTTTTTTTCTTTACTCCCACCGGGTTGTGGTGACTATGGGACAGTGGCAGTACCATGGCTGTGTGGGGAATTAGCACCTTGTGATACACACTGAGGTCAGTACTAAAAGGCCTATCCCCCCAGGTATACAGATGGACACACACACACACACACACACGCACACACACACACACACACACATCATCCATTCCCTCTCTTCCTCCCTCTCCTGCCAGAATGGACCATGCAGTTCCACTTCTCTCTGCCTTTTTCATTTCTAGCTGACGGTTTTGCCAGTTTTCATTTGTTTTAATGTGAAGTAGTGAAATCTCAAAGGCACTAGATGTGAGAATCAGCTCCAGCTCTCACACCGCTTGGGTGATGGCCAGCACCCAGCCGAGCCAGGACCCTCCACAAGAAAGCAGAAGCTGCAGGGGAAGGTAACAAATAAATAAATTATAATAAAGTTATAAATAAAATACAGGAGGATAAGTGTCAGCACAGCAGGCAGCAAGCAGATCTATAAGATCCAGGGTGCAGCTTCCCCCTGTGACTGTGCTTCAGTGGGTTAGCATGCTGTGCCTGTAATCAGGAGGTCATTGGTTCAAATGCTGCAGCTGGCAGAGTGTTTTTTTACTGTGGGGCCCTGAGTAAGGCCCTTAACTCCCAGTTGCTCCAAGGTTTGGCCTCCCCTGCTTTCTGAAGGATACATTGCTTTAGATAAAAGCATCTGCTAAATAACTACAAATGTAAATGTTATTATTAATCACCACCCTACAGTCCAGTTTTCTGTTTCTGCTAGATCAGTCTGGCATGGTTTTGTCTTCTTTCCTGAATCACTGACACACACCCCCAAAGGAGCCCTTTGCTGTGGATGTGTGATTTTCTTTGGGGAGGTCAATCTCTCTGTAGCATAGTGATCGCTGGTGTGATCCCTATAATCTGTCCTACACCCCCCCCCCCCCATTCAGGCGCCCTGTGTGGTCCACCGAAGACCCCAGACAGGACCCGATTGGCTGGGACACCAGACAGGACCTAATTAGCTGGGACCCGAGGCAAGACCCGATTGGCTAGGACTCCAGGCAGGACTCCATTGTCTGAGACCCCGGCAGCACCTGATTGGCTGGGACCACAGGCAGGACACAATTGGTTGGGACGCTTCCTACAGTGAGCATGCCCTGCTCCAGCTCCTCTTCACTCGAGCAACATGAGCACATTTCAGCATGCCGACTGGTCCAACGGTGTCCCAGCTGTCAGCCCTGCACACGTTGTCCTGTCCTGCTCTGTCTTTGTCCTTGGAAAGTCCATATCTCACATTCCCCCCAGTGTTTGCTTCTCCTTTTCAGACTGGTTAGGCTTCTTATTTGACCCTCCGTGCCTGGTGTAAGATCTGAAAGCAAGCCGATTAAATCAGTGTTGACTAAGTACTGACAACATGAGAAAAATGTGTGCTGGGTGGCACTGCGGGAAGCACCTTCACCCTCACATCTGCAGGTATAGTGGCTTGAATCCTTCCTCTGCTCTGTGTGTGTATAGCCTGTGTTTTCTCCCCCTTTCCTGCTGCAGTCCAAAGACATCCAGTTTGGTGAATCTGTGTCTCTAAATTGCTCTTGGATTTTTAACCCCGTGATGGAGAGGCGTCCCATTCAGGCCGTACCTGCTCTTGTGCCCTGTGCTTCCTGTGATAGGCCCACCATAACCCTGTAGCGGCTGTGCACTTACAAGTTGAATGAGGACACAATTTTGGGTGAGATCCTTTCATTTTCAGCACTTCCGGCTTAAGGCTGCGACATGAGCTGATGTGATGTCATGATGTAATGAAGGCTAAGGATGTGAGCCCAGTACCTCGTGTCTCTAAGGCTGCTCTCATATTCTTGGCTTACAGGAGGAGTAAAAGCTAAGAGACATATCTCAAGGAAGTCGACGGGGGTGACAGATTGTGTTTTAGCACTCTGGCAGAAGCCCAACAAAACCAAACAAGATCCCAGTGCTGCCCATCACCCCCCTTTCCCAGCATCCCCCAGGAGCCACAAGAAAATTCTGGCTTGGGGGGGGGGGGCATAAAGTGTGGATGACTGATAGTCACTCCAGGGTAACTCTCACAACCACAGGAGAGCTAATCCTCCTCACCTGATCCTTTCTTATTTAAAGACTCGGTTGTAAGGATCAGTTTCCGTCACACATCACCGGCAAAGCTGCCCACGGATCGTCACGATGTTCACACATGCACAATGGCTGCCTCACGCGACAAGCAGGGAGAGGGACAAGGCGTTGATAAATCCCCATGGGACGCTTATGCCAGACTGGCGTGAGAAAGACAATGCCGGAGGATCGATTTACGAAGATGCAGCACTCAGTGGCTTGCGATCGATGGCGGATCCGGTGGCTGGGGGTTCTGTGATACGCTTCTCATGTGTCTGAGTGCTTTTATGAAAATTGGTGATTATTCGCGACACACATTCTCATGTCCGTAAGAAAAATACATCTATCCTTTCATAAGCATTTATCTAGTTCACAGCTGGACACCCTGTATAGGATGCCAGTGAAACATATTATCATATTGTTTTTCCATCCATCCATCTATTGACCTTGACACCCAGTCTTGCCGAACCTGAGACCAATGCTAGGAAGCACAAGCATAAGGCAGGTGTCCCCCTGGACAGGGTGCCAGTCGATTGTAGGACACGTTGTTATAATACCAAAAAAAATCTGACACTGATTATAGGAAGTACCTAAAGTTTAGGGGTCTTATGAATGTATCCAGATAGGAATAACATTCCTGAAGTTTGCATCACAGAGACATCTCAATGTCGGATGGGTTGTTTTATCCACTTCCTGCTGGTTGCGCTATTGGCTCCCATTGGGCTAAACCAGGCAGTCTAACAGCAGGACAGGGCACGATAATCCTGCCTATCATGGCTACTGAAGCATTCTTTCTCTCTGTGAAAACGGTCAGTACTGTTCCCTGTGTGGGTCAGCAGGCAGTGCCAGGGTGTTTAGTGGAGTGTTCCCTGTGTGACAGTGGTAGATCAGCGGTCAGCTCTGGGGTCTTTGATGGTGTGTTCACTGTGTGACTGTGGTAGATCAGCGGTCAGCTCTGGGGTCTTTGATGGTGTGTTCCCTGTGTGACTGTGGTAGATCAGCGGTCAGCTCTNCTGTGTGACTGTGGTAGATCAGCGGTCAGCTCTGGGGTCTTTGATGGTGTGTTCCCTGTGTGACTGTGGTAGATCAGCGGTCAGCTCTTGAGTCTTTGATGGAGTGTTTTCTGTGTGACTGTGGTAAATCAGCGGTCAGCTCTTGAGTCTTTGATGGAGTGTTTTCTGTGTGACTGTGGTAAATCAGTGGCTAGCTCTGGGGTCTTTGATGGTGTGTTCCCTGTGTGACTATGGTAGATCAGCCATCAGATCTTGGGTCTTTGATGGAGTGTTCTCTGTGTGACTGTGGTAAATCAGTGGTCAGCTCTGGGGTCTTTGATGGTGTGTTCCCTGTGTGAGTGTGGTAGATCAGCGGGCAGCTCTGGGGTCTTTGACGGAGTGTTCCTTTTGTGAATCTCTGTGATTTATGATGTATTTTTGCTTCTTGGTCTGCGATTAGCCTTTTGCCTGCTTTTTTCTTTTGTCTGTTTGTTCCAATTTCATGATAATTACTGCATTTTAAATGTGAAGTTCAAGGAAAATCTGAACTTTCTCACATTATAATGATCTATGTCTCTAGAACCATCCATCTATCTCCCATTACTACGTATCCAATACAAAGTTGTGCGGCACCAAAAGCTTTTCCCAGGTAGCATAGGACACAAGGTAGGGACACCTTGGATGGATGCCAATCTGTCACTGGGTGCACACACACACACACACACACACACACACACACACAGTTATGTAATCATATTTTTTTGGGGACCACTCATTCATTTCAATGGGAAAAATGCTAATGCTAACTCTAACAACCTGAACCCCTACCCTGCCCTAACCATAACCATATCCAATGGAAGGCAGCTGAAACCTCGAAATAAGCCAAAAAACATGATAGTTGCTGACTGGATCCTGTAAACAGAACTCGCTCATAATCGCTGCTGCGCGGATACTGTCCTGGCCGGTAACGTTTCTAACTCATTGATCCCCCAGACTCTCAGTCAGAACGCATTCATGGTTCATACAGGGGCCGGTGTCCATGGGAACCCTTGCTCGTCTCGCTCTGTCCGGCCTTCCCACCTAGGGCCACAAGGGTGAGCGAGCGGGAGAGTGGCGTGCCGCACGATTGGGGGCAGTGCTGCTCGAGAGGGAGGGTCTGAGGGAGCACTCAGATGCAGCAGGAAACACCGTGTCAGTCACACTTCGGGAGCTCTGGCTGTCCTGTTATTTCACAATTTGTTCTCCGCCTTTTGAAGGGGAGAAAAATCAAAGTGTCCCTGAACCTTGTAGCATTAATTACTGCAGCTTCCTCTCTTTCCTTCTGGGCAGATGTACATTTCCTCTTTTACCCCTTCAAAAATGTATTTCTAGCTGTCTAATTAAGGGACACTTCTGATTTAACTTCCTATTTTGAATTCTGTCTCTGGTGTTTCAAATGAACAACTAAAGTATTTAAGCTGGGGTAGAATACTATTACAAAAACAAAAGTTACAAAATGAGTTACATAACTGAACAGTGGCACATCTGGTGGCTACAGATGGAGCTGTTGTATGTATGTATCATATTAAACACACTTAATGGTCAAATAATGACATCACATTATCCTCATGCAACTGTACATTTCATCCTAAAACTCACAGAAAACCCATAAGATAGACGGTATCTCTATTGAAATTTGCAGCGTGAATGAGAAAACAGGTGATACAAAGTCGCTAAATTTCATTAAGTTGTCCCCGGTCTCCAATGCAGTCAGGCGTGAATCGGCCATGCGGAGTGTCAGTGTGAAAGCACAAGAGAGGCGGAGCTGCTCTCCTCAAGGACGCTTAATGAGTGCAGCAGGTAACAGAGGCCCTCACTGATATCCAGAGGACAAAGTATTCAGAGAGGCTGATAGATAGGTACTCCGTCCTGGATTAGGAAGGCAAGTGCGTGTTTGTCTACAGCGTAAAGCATCACTGATCTCCGCTGTTTTTTTTTTTTTTTGAGACTAGCTGTATTTCCAGTATTGCTGCCCTTGAGAGATTTTCACTTTGGTAAATTACAGAAAACAAGCAGCATGTTCCACAGGAAAACCCCATGGGTGATAATAAAGGATGCTCACATTTTCATGACAGTGCACTCAGATGACGAACAGTGAGCCAAATCAGTACATTCTGTTTGCTGGGTTTCACATTGCAAAGACAGGAAATGTTTGAGAAATGTTATGCTGGGAACATAAGTGAGACGCCCTCAAATCCTCTGCTAATATACCTGACACAGGATAATGTCATAATGGCCCATATGTGTTTATGCAGAGTGGTATAATGTTATTTTAATTACACAGCAAATATATTTTGCAAACTTTTATTTTATATCATATTACTTAGGTTAGTAATACAGTATTATAATGCAGAAAGTATGAGTTTCAACAAGACTGAGAAATTTCAGGGAAAACAACAACAACAATATAGTCAATAAAGCATAATATTTCTCAATATTGCCTGAAAACATGCATATAGAGTGCAAGACTTAAATGCACATGGCAGTATTTTCACGTGTTTATGGAAGGACATTTTCTGTAGGTCTGGTTCAGTATTCTGATTTTTAGGTGGTAAAACCATAACCAAAGTGTGAAATGAGTGGGTTTGGCTAAGGGACACAGACAGCAAGCGTTGCGTGGGGTACAAACAACCGAATTTCACGTCACACCTGGTTTGTATAAATTCTGCTGCCTGTAGCTGTACTGTGTACTGACAGTGATCCACTGAGCATGACCCTTAAAGGCACAGCGCCATGGGAACTGCAGAAAGCTGGGGTGATGAAATAATCAGTGCATTGTCTTCTAATTCATCTTTCAAGCTGCAAATCCGGTGCAGGGCGACAGTGATCCTGGAGCCCGTCCCAGGGAGTAGAGGATGCAGGGCAGGGGGGTCCCAGGATGGGAGGCCAGTCTATCAGTGAATGCACACACTGCATCTGGGCCGGTCAGTCCTACAGGTGGCATAGGCAGCCGCCTAGGGCGCCGACTTCTGAGGGGGCGGCGACATGTCAGCCAGTTTCACTTTGCCTTAGACAGGGGCACTGGTGCTGATGCTCACCTAGGGTGTCACATGGGCTCAGGCCGGTACTGCAATACATCCTTTATGTGTCTTTGAAGGGAGGATCCAGAGCACCTAGAAAGTGTGCATGGCCTGGGGAGAACATGAGAGCTCCCTCAGTGTGGGGGTGTCCTTGGAGATAACAGTGCTACCTACTGAGCCACTGTCCCACCCCTGGACTTTAAATCTGTTCTCTTTATTCTTCTGTCTCCCCTGACCCGAGTTGATATGGTGCGATGACTGAGCCAGGTTCGATCCAAGACGCAAGGAACCAAAGTCAGAACATCTCATACCACGGAGCTGCTGCTTGTGACCCTGACCATATCCCAGAATCCCACCTGCGTCCTGTCCATCGCCTTCCCTCGCAGTGAGCCGCTTCCTGCCGCCTCCCTCGCTGGCATCTCCGTCTGGCACACACCCCCCCCATCTCATCGCAACATCGAAAACGTCGCATCCTGCCTCACAGAAAGCCTGCGAGGCTTTAATGCGTCGGCCAGAAAAATGCAGCGACGCATGCGATCTGCCGTGACTGGCCTGACCTTGTGGGACGGACTAGAAGCACACAGATACGGGAACTATTTCCGTTTGCTTTTTGTTCGAAACAGGGTGTTCGAAATATTGATGATCTCTGCCAAACCCCTGGTGGGATTATCTGTTAAAGGAGAAACATTTGTCGTATCCTTGCTCCCCTCGCCAAAATTAGAAAGCCAGTGGGCCCCCAGAGGAGGAAGGGAGGGGGCTCGGGTTGAGCCAGGGTCACTGAGACTCAGTGGGAGACAGG